AAACCATTTCAGGTGACTACCTCTTGAAGCTCATGGAGAGAATGCCAAGAGTGTGCAAAGCAGTAATCAGAGCAAAGGGTGGCTATTTTGAAGAAACTAGAATATAAAACATGTTTTCAGTTATTTCACCTTTTTTTGTTAAGTACATAACTCCACATGTGTTCATTCATAGTTTTGATGCCTTCAGTGAGAATCTACAATGTAAATAGTCATGAAAATAAAGAAAACACATTGAATGAGAAGGTGTGTCCAAACTTTTGGCCTGTACTGTATGTATCCAAACACTAAAGCTTTGTATTGTGATGATTTAACAATAATAAACCCTCTAGAGGTGTTGGATCACTTACGTTTTCATCCTGCCTACCAGTTCTTTTTTTGTCTGCAGCATTTCTCTGAGCTGTGTATTGTCATGTATTATGGTTGGTAATGTTGATAACTCTATTTGCATAAAACCCCTAATTTGCAAATGGTTGTCAAAAACTGTTCAAAATTAAGCCTTCTATAACAAATGTTTCACACATTGTCATGAGCACAGTACTGGAGTTAAATGAAATTTCCACCTTTGAGGTTTTGATGAGGACCTTAAATTCAGTCAGGGGGGTAAATGACAACCCAACACAACAGCTCCTATGCTTAGTTTAACTATAGCAGGAAGCCTCTGCTCTGTTACTTTTGCCTATATTATCTTAGCTTAGACAAGCTTAGCTTAGCTTAGCTTATTTCTTATCCAATCTTATCTTATGTCATCTCATCCTAGCTTAGCTTGGCGTAGCTTAGCTCAGCTTGTATCTTATCTTGTCCTATCTTATATTGTCTTAAATTATTTTATCCAATTTTATTTTAGCTAAGGTGATCTCAGCTCATCTCTTATCTCAGCTTGGCTTAGGTTGTCTTATTGTATCGTATTTTATATTGTCTTAAATTATCTTGTATTATCCAGTCCTAGCTTGGCTTTCCTTAGCGTACCTCATCTCTTATCCAATCTTATCTTATGTTATCGTATTTTATCTTGTCCAGTCTTACCTTAGTTAAACTAAGCTTAGCTTATCTCTAATCTTATCTTATCTTATCTTACCTTATCCAATCTTAGCTTATCTCATCCAATCTTAGCTTATCTTATCTTATCTCTTGTCTTGTCTTATCTTATCTTAAATTATCCAATCTTATCTTGTCTTAGCTCAGTTTATCTCTTATTTTATCCAATCTTATATCAATTTAGCTTAGCTTATCTTAGTTTAACTTTCATCTCATCTCATCTCATTCTTAGCTCAGTTTATCTCTTATTTTATCCAATCTTATATCAATTTAGCTTAGCTTATCTTAGTTTAACTTTCATCTCATCTCATCTCATCCAATGTTATATTACCCAATCTTATGTCTTATCTTAAAACCCAAAGTTTTTGAAATGATTGTTGCTAATTCCTTTAGAGAGTCTGAACAGAAGGACAAGAGCAGAAAATATGGACATGGTCAACCATGATTTCTCCACATTCCTTCCAGCAGCATAGCTGGGTGACAGTTTGTTTAAACATCTGTTTGGGCGTGATGAAAAAGTGGATCAGGTTTTTCCAGCACAGTGTCTCCAGGTCTGAGAGTTAGAAAAGCTTTGTATGTTGATGATTTCAATTAACAAACCCTCTAGTGTTGGATCAATAATGTTTTCATCTCATAGCGAGTCCTTTTCCCTCCTTTTTAAAATTGTATTTCATTCATTCATTTATGTTTGCAGCAGTGGCATTTCTCCTAATTGTATATTGTATTGGCTGGTCATGTTGATGAGTTTATTGTCATGAAACTTGTATGTAAATGTC